CCCCAAAACCCCAAAACCCCAAAACCCCAAAACCCCTTAGGGATTAATTTTAGTAACTTAAAAAGTAAAATAAATAAATTTATATAAATAAGTGTTTTTTTATTAAGTTTTCGATGGAAAATTAATCAGAGTTAGAGATTTAGAATGCTCCCCCAAAGTCTGAACCTTTTGAAAGTAACTTACTAAAAATAATGTAAATAATATTAGATATGGATTAAGTAGCAACTCCTAACGATAATCCTACTTCCTATGATCAGCAAAATGATTTACAGGATTAAATAAATTAAGCATTCAAAGATGAAAATGATCAATAAAACTAAAACTAACAGGATAATTAGGACTAGCAAATGACCTACAATGCCTAGGACTACGAGAACAATGAAAATCTGAACTATGAAATATTTGGTTTATTTGACCTTGACGGCTCAGGAAAAATTGACATTAATGATCTTGAAGAAATTGGAAAAGCTATGGGATGGAAAAAGCAAGAAGGTATATTCGTATAACGTCTTGTTTATACTGCATTTTAGTGGATGATTTGATATTCTCACTTGATCCGAATCACGATGGGAGAATTTCTTTTGAAGAATTCTAATTAGTCATGAAGCATATTGAGGAAAGGATTCAATCAAATAATTAAGGGTCGTAACAATCTAGTCAAAATTTAGTTGGCTAACCGTAAGAAATGATTTTGTATATAAATGACTTTGCTAGTTCTAAGATAATAGGAGATCAATAAACAAAGATGTATGGAGCACTACTGCCCAAAACTGGAGTATATTTCCTTCCAGATGAAAAAATTATTGGTTTTCTGAAGTAATTTCACGATTATAATTTATATAGAATATTGAATGAATTGAGGAAAAAATATGAGAGGGATGGAAACTACACTAAAGCCAAAATATTGAAATACAAATTTGACACTCTTAGTAACCAAGAGCAATAAAGACAATAGTTGAATATGAGAATAGCTTAGGAATAAGAACTCTCAACAGTAGAGAATGCTTAGAAACTCTAATTTACAGAGTTTGCAGAAGCATGGGATAAATATATGACAGATTACGAAGCGGCTGCTTTTGAATCAGTTGAGAGATTGAAAGAAAAGCATATTAAAGAAATAAAAGAGCTTCATGAAAGAGTGAAGACAGAATTCATGATTAAATTCAAATGGACAAGAGAACTTCTAGATCTGAGAAAGTAAGAAAAGATTCATTTCTCTGTCAAGGACTACATAAATGCTGAAGAATGCAAAAGAAGAGCAGACTTAATGGAGTTACAAGAAAGAGAAATGAGTTAAAACTCGTTAAATGAAGCCATTGGTAGATAAGAGAGAATTTTAAGATAAAAGTAGCAAATGGCTTTGGCTACACTGTTAAAACGTATTTAGAGAGACAGAGAAGAATAACTTAAGCATAGATAGGAGGACTCTTAAAGATTAATGTAGAGAAATACAAACCTACTTAAAGATATGATCACTAAGTAGGCTCAAGAATAAAGAAAGACCTCTTAATTTTTGAAATTCGCACTTGGAAAGCGTGAGCATAAGACTGAAGAGGAGATTAAATAGATGATAAAAGACAGTAGTTATCAACCTAATAGTGACCCATTGATGGGAAGAATTAATCGCAAATACAACCCAACAGTAAGTGTCTATTCAAACGTGGGAAGAGGTAGACTTTACACTCAAGACTCAAGGACATCTAAACACATAAGTAGCAGGATAATTAGACCCTTTGAGTTTCAAAGCCCTTCAAATGCTCTAGGAGGACTAGGAAATGGCCGAGATAATACTTTGGCTTAGAGGAAATTAAACATTAGAAAAATAAATCAGACTGCAATTCTGGAGGAAGTACATAGTACAATGAATGATATAAATAGTTTCAGATAACATAATCAACCATCAAACTAGGGTTAAGGTAGTAAAAATTAGATGTCAACCAATAAATTTACTCTCCCTAAGATTAAGAATTGAGGTTAATATTTATTAAGCTAAGTTTTGCTAAGAATGACTACCTGAGAGTTTTATTCTAGGATTGATTAGTAATTATAAAGTTGTGAATCTTTTTAATGTTCTTAAGTTTTGCATTAAATATTAATCTTCTGATTAAGTCATCAAGTTGATATCTCAATGAGTCTTCAGATATATTTGAACTCTGGAACGTCCTGTCTATGAGCAACTAGTACAGTATCGGTGACATAGTCTGGCCTAACCTTGAATTCTTCAGAAGGGGTGTGACTAGTGAATCCAAGCTTTGAAATTCCACCATTAAGGTCACCCATTGCTACCAATGGAATACAAGTCAAAAAGATAACATAGTTTCTGAATTTAGAACCTTTATATGTCTAAAAATATAAGATATTAAACAGCTAATGATTATTACTGATAATTTATGGAGGTTTAATTGGTTCTATAGATTTGGCACATTGTGTACCATAGCCTTGACTGTCTTGACGTCCATTACTACTTTTTCTAATAATTATATATTCTAAATTATTATTTCTAGGAATCACTATACCATCAGCATATTCTACCAGAGGGGTTTTGGGGTTTTGGGG